ACCCATGAACCTCCAAGTAGTCTTCACTCGGTCTTCATGGCCTTGCGAAAGCTATTCCACAACTCCATAGCTTTCGTATCCGCGCGACGTCGTCCCGGCATTCCTACCGCAGATCGCTTCTGTCAGGTCTGGGCAGGAGATGACTGAAGTGATACTTCTCATTCTTCTTCTGTGTGTCCCGGCCAACAACTTTCCATGCAGGAAGAGACGTTGAGGGTTTCAATGTTGCCGTAGCTATTCATTGGGACCAACAGCCCGATTGTTTGGATGCAGAATGCTTGGGGCCTTGGAGAGCATGCAATGCATGTAGCCTCGTAGCTGAGAGAGAGAGAGAGGCCCTGGCGAAAGAAAGAGAGAGAGGGGGTTATCCCCTACATCATAGCCCTGGGCGAAAGAAAGAGAAAGAGATCCAGAAACTTTTCATGTCCCCCCAAAGCCCCATAACACATGGGGGGCCACTAGGCCGGGGGACCTTAACAGTCCCCCAAGCCCAATGAAAGGAAGATATAGTCTAGTGGGTGTGTGTGTGTGCGTACGCGAGAAAGCACTTTCACTGGAGGCATGCTTTGCTGCGAGCCAGTGCTGCACTGCCTCTCCGCCAGTATCTTGGTGGCCAGTTTTACAGATCAAAGGCTGAGCCAGGTTTGTGCGCCACACGCTTCTTGGATTTTTCTTGTGGGCCTGTAACAACATCAGATGTCGCCTTCAGCAGTTCACTGGTAGTTGAGGCTCGAGGTCGCAGCAAGATATCCTCTAGTCGAAGTATCCCCTGTGGCTTTTTGAGCCAATACTGTAGTGACTCTTTTGCGACATGCCAAGTCAAGTTCAGTTGTTCATACCGCATTCTACAGTGCTACAGGGCCCTCCTAGGCACAAGCCGGAAGCCTGACACTCCCTCCGGACCAGGCAGTGAACTGTTGGTGGACTGTTGCGAGTACGGGGAGTGGTACTGCACCGTGGCTCCAATCTGCTGTTAGACATAGCTTTGCTCAGTGTGGTTATCGTGTTTGCTTGTTGTCCTGGACAGGTTCTGGTTGAGGTGGTAGGGGAGTAGTGGACAAACGTTTGCCTTGTCCGGCTAGATAAGTTAAAGTTTCAAACTCGTTCTCGAGGCATTTTCAGATACCGGGAGAACAAAAGCTCACGACACGCTACAGCTTCATGCAGCTCAGTGTTAGGGAGATTGTGCAACATCCTCAAGGCCTAACGTGCTTAGCGCAGGCAGTTTGCTTGGGTGTGACGAGGCATTGAGCGAGCCAGCTCCTTCTGAACCCCTAAGAGTGGATAGAAGCTTCGGTGAAACTACAGGGTTGGTGTGCCTCTAGCGCAACTGCGCAAGTATAATGCGAGAAGGAGTCGATGCCCATCCATGTTGAAATGCGAGAATGCCTCATACTTGCCTCTGTCATCCACTCAGCAGTCCGTAGGCACATATTTGGGCGGTGTTTCGTCAAAGCCTTCTTTAAGCTCTTGAACGACCTGTTGTTAGCTGCCAGTTCTTGGCCATGTCATGAAGGCCTTCGATCCCATGACTTCAGTGAACTGGAGAGTATTGAGCGTGCAAGCAAGCAGCTGAGGTCCACGAAAGTAGCAATTCGGAGCACAACCGGCTGACAGACTGCGACAACATTAACTTAATCAGGTAGAATAGAGTAGACTATAGTATAGTATACCAAGGGTTGTCAAGCCAAGTCAAGTCAAGCACAGTATAGTATGGTGTAGTATAGCATAGCATAGCATAGCATGTTGTAGTATAGTACAGTCTAGTATAGTACAGTATCGTATCCAAATCTATACTAGAGTAGAGTACAGTTTCATATAACAGCATGATAAGTTAATAAGGTGTACTACGATACAATCAAACACGATATGAGATGAGTCAGTGACCCCAGGGCACGGCAACTGAAGTGACTGCATGCCAGCGCGAAGACTGTCATCCACAGGCAACATCAACAACTTTTACAACCGCCTCGCCGCCTTCCCAATGCTGCTTTACTTTCTCCTCGCCTCCGAGCCGCTTGGTCCGCCACTGCGGATTTGTAGGTGAGGGTTGAAGCTTCGGGGCTTCTCAAGCGGCGCTGATGCTGCGTTTGGAAGGCGCAGACATCAACATGACGTGAAATAGTTCAGGTCCGAGTTTTGGAATCGCGTCAGTCCTTGATGCCGGCTGTGGCCCAGAGGTTCATCCGCATTTCGTTGTGAGGCTGGTTCACTTGCACGTGCAGCTCTCCGTCTTCAGCGTGATCTGCGCAAGCCTCTGGCGGCTTGTCACGAAGCAGGAAGGTTTGCACTTGCTGCATGCAGGTTGAGCCGCAGTGACAGACTTTGCAGATGCCACACTCATGTTCAATACGTGCACCTGATGCGGAATTACCGTCAAGCAACATATTCTGCTTACAGCGCGAACCGAGGTGGGAGTTTATGCTGTATCTCGCAGTTCTGGTCTTTTTTGCGGCCACCTTTGCTGCGGGAGTGTCTTGGGCTATTGGTTTTCCAGTTCAGACTGCAGGCGCAGCGAAAAATGTAGACGAGGAATTTCTGTTGCGCTGCTTCAGGTCGCGAGTGGTGTGTTGGCATTTCGATATTTCTTTTCCTGGTCGATCCAACATCTAAACGGGAATGCGGGAATGTCATGTAGGTAATGTAGGTAGCGCAGAGAGGCTGTCCGCAGGCAGAGCCCTCCGAAAGAGGGAGGACAGAAGTGCTCTCACATGGCCTCTACGACTCTGCGAGCGAGGCAGCAGGCACCGAACACCAGCTTCTCTCACGACTCAAAACTCTCTTCAGGGTTTAGGGTTTCGGGTCAAATCCTGTGTCTCAGTGATGGTCATCGGAAGCAGCACTGAACCCTACACCCAAGACATCCACTGCATGCCTTGACAAGCACGCTGTGTGGTGTGCCTAGGATCCTAGGACCCATGTCTTAACGTTGCTCTTTTTTGTCTGATTGCTTGCTAGAGAATTCGCTGCTTCCGACACTCGTGTTTGCTCTTCGTCGGTGCCACAAGCAGCATGCTGAGGTCGCATGCTTACCTCAATCTGGTGGAGCAGAGTCTGCGCAGCTTCTTGGACTTCGGACCCAAGGAACGTACCCGTTTTTTTGTTGTTTTCGCAGATGCACAGCAGCGAACGAGCCCAAGGATGCGGGACTTCAGCAACATGCCTGCAGCCTTCGAGTCCATGCTGCCGCTCAGTGCCAAGATCTTGGTCCCGGGCTATCTTCACTCTTCGTAAGTCCGTCCTGCAATCTGTAGTCCTAAAGTACACCGACGGTCGCAGCGCATGAAGTTCCCGACGTGGCTTCTGTCGTTGCCGGACAGGCTGCGACAGGAGTGTAAAGCCAAGCGAAACAAGACTCACTTCCTCAGTACAGACATGAACATAGCGGAGATGCTCTCATGTGGTTGCCGGTTGGTCGTCGAGCCAGCGGCAAAACTGGTTGCGCCAAAGCCATCATAAACCTCAGTGGAGAGAGCCTACGACTTCTCCAAGCAACACAAACTCCGCGGGTTTAGACGATATCTACATTTCCGACAGTCTTGAAGCATACTGCTATCCTCATGGAACCCCGCTAGACATGCCCTTTTGATGAGGGCCATGGCTTTCAACACCTACGGCAGCGGCAACTTTGAGGAGATTTCGACCGCCGGAGAGCCGATGCTGCAGTGGTGGCCCAGCTTTCAAGCCATGCAAGTTTTGGGTATTCAATGCAGCTGGCAGATGACAACAGCAGCATTCAACAGCCTGTCGCTGCGCTTGTCTCTGGGCTACCGCGCTACCGAAGTCCAGGTTCGTCATGGCTTTCGCCGCCTGTTGGCATGTGTACCTGATGAATCTCGGCTGCCTGCAGGTTTACAGATCATTTCAGATGCTGTGTGTTTCTTGATGTGTGAGGAACCTCATGGTGGCCCAGCTCTGCCAGCGGTATAATGACATCTTCCACAACGCCCGCGGCAATGCCCGATTGCAACGATTCTGCAACAAGTGAACCCGTCGTCCTTTATGGACTCACCTGGAGCCTTTCAGAAAACACTTGCGTCATAGCAGTTTTTCTTGGTGCCGTGATTGCTTTGTGCATGGGTATGTGCACGAGGGCTCGTTACTCACACGTCCCATGACACATACTTGACGGCAGAAGAAATTTCGAACAGCATCTGAAGTTGCAAACTGTATGCATTGCGTTGTGGTGTAAGCTTTGAAACCCTCATATTGCTGTGATACGCTTTTCAAGCAAGCTTCGTGCTTTTGACACCCTCCGTCGGCGGTGGTACTCCCAGGACGCGGGGCATCATCATCTACGAAACATCCATGCCGCTGATTTCCAAGCACCGCTGGGGAAGGTTCGTCGAATCCTTGCGACTGGAGGCATGACCAGCGTCCGGGACCAGCACTGCTGGGTTGAACATATTATTTTGCTGGACAGCCACCCTGTCTTGCCAAAAAACAAGCAAAAACGTTCCAAGCGATCCCAACTCTTCATGCTCGTTTGGCGTTTTCACTTTGTCCAGTCAAATCTAGGCTTCAGGCATCTTCAGGCATTCCGTCGAGGGCTTGCCGGCTAAACCCTGCAACTGCGATATGCTACGTGCAGCCTCCCTGCACCTCTACCTCTACCGTCCCTTCGCCCCATTTCACAGTCCCCGGCCAACCCCTAAACCCTAGCGCCCTGGATCTAGGACATTTTCAGATGGGTAGTTGCCGTTACAGGAGCCCTATAGTTTTATGGTTTATATATTTTATAGAAGTATTATTGTAAAAGCCATACATACTATAAACTCACCACCCGTAATTTCCTTTAACTAGGCCCCAGAACTCCGTGACGCTGCACAGGTGGCCTGCGAATTGGACGAAGGCGACAACGGACCCAGAGGGGCCGTACCCACGCTCGAGAGCCCGTGCCCGGACATCTTCCTCGGGGTTTATGGGGGTTTAGGGCTTAGGGTCTTGTTGCATAGATGGCAACGACACCACCAACTTTCTGAATCTGTGTACTCCGCACGCCCCCAGCCCAACGTGATAGAGCTGCAGTGCGAGAACCACTCAGGTACGAGTACTTGCAGTACCCTGCTGTGGAGCTGGATCGGGTCCAACGCTATGGAGGCCTCGAAAGCTTGGAACCTTGCAAGGTGGGTCAAACAGCAGAAGGCATTCGTAATACTACGTGTTCCGAAACCACTTGAACTTCCCTTCTTCGAGAGAAGAGCATGGAAGGAGTAGAGGTAGGAATGAATGAGAGAAATTATGCTTCGGTCTTTGCTTCGACACGACTTGCTGCACCTGCGTTGAGCTACCGATAAGGCATGGTTGCAGTAAGCTCCCTGGACGAGTATCCTCACCGGAATGTTGTCACCCTCCCCACGCAAGCACTACCTTAAATCCGACTGTCCCGCACATCCACCCTGCATTGATCTTGATCATCGGGCTACCAGACATTGGAGACCGACTTGGCTTCGTTCTGTTCCCGGTCGTGGTAGAGGGCCCGAGGCCATACACTGGGCACGAGAAATTGTGATCCCTAAACCCTAAACCCTAAACCCTAAAACCCTAAACCCTAAAACCCTAAAACCCTAAAGCCCTAAACCCTAAAACCCTAAAGCCCTAAACCCTAAAACCCTAAAGCCCTAAACAAGCTACAAGGGCTTGCCAATCCGGAGCTGCCGTGGCCGAACCTCGAGGAGGTGCCGAAGAATACATGCTCGGCCCGCTTTTTGTTTTGGGACGCGCGAGGTTTTGTGAAACGAGGGTGAGTTAAGATTGACAGGCCGGCAGGTCTTTGGTGGGTTTTCCATTGGGTGCATGATCAAAATGCACGATCTACGCTTGCTTGCATGCCCCGCTGCTTGCTTGCTATCTTACAATGCTCGCAATGTTCTTGTGTGCTGGCCACTCTGTCGTGTTGTGCGTGAAGCTTTCTCCCGCACCGATGCCTCCCATGTGGCCGCTGTTCCAACTCCTGCTTGCCTGCTGCATATGCGCACGCAAATTGGAGCTCAGGCCATGTCCAGGCCTCTGGGTATTTTCCCTACTGCTACATCCGTTTCAAAGTATCGGCGTGTACAGGCAAAGACCTGCGATTTGTTGGAAGCTAGCTGGGCATCAGCTCACGAGCAGGTTTCTAGACTCTAGAGCTTACACCAAGTGCCTATACCGCTCCAGCCACACTTCCTGCGGTTTGCTTGCTCCGCAAGTGGACATGTTTTTGTGTTCTTGCAGTTCTCTTCTTCGCATGACAGCGAATTCGTGTTTCACGTCTAAGGCTATTCTTGCAGACTGCAGCAAGCGGTAGCGAATTTGGATCTGGCCTTGAGTAGTTCGTGAGTCTGTGAGTCTCAATCCCACGGCTCACTGCAATCCCAAAGACGAACGTAGTGTCCTCATATTTGTAATAAAGATAAGAAGATTATACCGGCCTCGACCCCAAACAGCAAGTGGGAGAC